CTTTCTTTCTTTCTTTTTTATTTTATTTTTTTTTAAACTAATTAGAGGCTTATTGTAAACCAAAGGGGATTTCTGGGAGTACTTTGGGTTTGTAAATTATGCAAATGACAGCACTCTGATGTTGGATCATATTATTAACTGTATATTTTGCGGTTCACATATTCTGAAGAGTATGTGTGAAACACGTTTTTCTTTCTTTTCCGGTCCTTGAACACAGAAAGTTAAAAAAAAAAGTCTTTAGGCAGATTACAAAATTATTTTTCTCCATTTTCTTAATGTTAAAGAATAGTAAAAATATAATATAATGCTACAGACTACTCTGTGCTGATAGCTTTACAACATTGTGCCTGTGCTATGAATAGAACAAACTTCACAGATGATTATACTTAAAGCTGGAGGTCTTTCTGTAAATTTTAAACAAAGTGTTCTATTAAATGCCATCTATAAAATGCTTGATGACTTACCTCCTAGGCTGATTTGTGATTTTGCCTGAGCTTTTGAAATCCTGGACGAAAAACTCTTTTGCTACAGGAAACTGATTGGTAACTGAATAAATTGCACTATAATCTAAGTATTGAACACTTCTACGTAGCAAGTATTATTTTGCAATGCATTCCTCTGCCTGCAGCATAAAATATAAGTACTCTATATAATGCTTAATGATCCTCAGGAATAAGTGTAAAGAGTATAGATGTTGGTTGGTTATCCTAAAATTTCCCTGTAGCTGAGAAAAACAGCTATCTTCGTGGTTCAGGACAGCTGTCTTTCTGCCCTGATATGAGGTTGGCTAAAGTAATACATTGAACAGCTTTTCTGTCCCACAAATGGCAGCGTTTCTGCATCTGAAATGATTTCTGTCTATCAATTAGCTGTGAGACTTCCTGAATAAAAAGGGTTTATATAGGTATGCAGCCATTTACAAATATCATACTCAATTTGTGTCTCAACTGCCAATTTCTGCAGCTAATTCTACCGGTTTTCACACTGTGTCCATTACAAGTGGAATTCCCTTTGCGTGAGGAGGTGTGTGTTTTGTCGATACAGAATAATGTGTTTGTGTTTCTTTCATACCTTTGCAGGGTAAGAACACAACTTTCATACAACATACAACTCAATAAAATAATAATTAAAAAACAGAACAAAACACAAACACAAACCTTAAGTGAAAGATGCCATATGTGTTTTGTTGATTGGACATTCAGAACACGTGAACATATGCATACTTACGTGCAAAGGCTCGTGTGTGCACCTCAGGCAGTCCATACCATTGTAAATCCAACTTAGATATGGGTAGTATGTACCAGGTATGCCGAATTATGGTGTCTGTGTAACATTCATGGCCCAGGAAGAGTCCAGGAGACTCGCTTTCTTTTTGCTGTTGAATCTTTAATTTTAACCTTGAATGAGTCTCCTGCGTTCAGCAAACCTTTTCATAAAAGCCTTTCTCCGTGTAGGTTTTACAGAAATAGCTTTGCAGAGTGATAACGAGGGCAGACTTACACATTTTTAATGCTCGATCATCTGTTTATGCATAGTATTGCTCCGAATGCCAAATTTAGCTGGTCATTAAGAGGGAAGTAGCCAGCAGAATCGCTCAGCCTGCGTGCATAATTTTCAAATTTAGACTGCAAGTATCTCGGAGAAGGTCTGCGTTTTAGTCTATTTTGCATGTGTCAGCCAGCCACAGAGAGCCACTGCTGTGGGAAATCACCCTCTGTTGGTGTGATACTGAGAAACCAGTGGGATCTGCATTCGGCAGCCATCCACCCACTTTGGTTTTGAGTAGTGGATACTGCTTATAAAAACAATCCCACCTTCGATGACTGCAGTGCCCTGCTGGATATTTATCTGTTTTTTTTCCACCAATGCAACGTAATGATCCATTGGAATCCAAGACTGGCGTGGTCTGGATTCCCAGGTTTCATTACTTCCCTTATGATACAGGCGACAGGACAAGAGGAAATGGCCTCAAGTTGCACCAGGGGAGGTTCAGGCTGGATATTAGGAAAAAATTTTTCACTGAAAGGTTTATCAGACATTGGAACGGGCTGCCCAGGGAGGTGGTTGAGGCACCATCCCTGGAGGTGTTCAAAAGACGGGTTGATGTAGTGCTGGGAGGTATGGTTTAGTGATGGTGATGTTTCTTGTTTGTTGTGTGGGTGTTTATTTTTGTCAAAATTAGGTTGACGGTTGGACAAGATGATCTTTAAGGTCGCTTCCAACCTAGAAGATTCTGTGATTCTGTGATATTTGCTCTGACATTGTTTAGGTTACTACAACATAATGAGCTCTGAATTCCCTCATCATGTACACATGTGCCACACGGTTTAAGAAATTCACACAACTGCTGTCCATCTCGCACTGCCAGGGATGCCTGCATGGTGCTCTAGTGTTCTTCTGCTTCTGGGACCTTGCTCTCCAGGTGCTCCACTGGTTGCATACTTCTCTGTCTGATATGTGTCCCTAATGGGAGCTCACTTCTAGAGTCATTTTAGCTTTCTTTTTTTTATAGGTTGTATATTTCAAAATTTTAGTTTTTGATGCAGGGTAAAACCAGAATCTCTAGGGCATCATGTTCAAATCCCTTTGATTTTGGGTCAATACTTTACACTGACCTCAACTGTTATTTAGATTTGAGCACATCTAAAAATGACGTGAACATGGCATCTCTTTTAAGCTTCAATATTATGCAAACAGCTCGGAATGATCTTTTGGTGTAAAACTTGAAACCTAGATCTAAGGTGACTTTGAAACTGAACCCTAACCTAAACTACATTTGGACATATCTGGGCCAATATATTTTTATATATTATCAAATAAAATATCTTGACATGCTGAAATTGTATGTGATATTTTTTCTGTAGAAATAAATTGATTCATATTGGAAATATGAAATGGGACCTATCAGCTATTACAGATTCCTTTCATTTCATTAGCAAAGATTTTCATTTTAAGAGCTGGCTTTATCTCCCATGTATGTGATATCCATGTTAACAATGATTGTTTATGGGACACAGGTTTAATACAAAAATACATTGTGTTTATATTAATAAAACTTATTTTTATTTTTATTTTCATGTTCTAGTCAAGGGTGTTTGGTGCCTCAGTGTAGAGTAGGTTAATGTAAAATAAAACCTTTGTATTTAAGTTACATGTTTGGTTGTGGGTCCGTCAGAAAATTACATGAGCTGTTTTCGGCAAACATTTGATTGCTAGTTTATGTGTTTTCTTACTCAGTTTCAGTCTGGAAAAATGTTTACATCATAAAAGCATCCTCAAACTTGAGGGCATTTTTGGCTTTTTAAGTGGGAAAAGACTCCAGACGCTCTAGTGGGATAATATAGGAAGTTTCTATTGCTGTACTGATGGGCTGAGGACTTAAATCCTCTGAGCAATCAATCCACTAGCTTTTATGAATGCTTAGGGAAAAAGAGGAAATATATTGCTGGAAAAGAGAAATGAACTTTGTTGCAGGATATGGGATGGCCAAATTCAAAAAAGACATATGTATGGTAAAGTCTCATGTGTCATTGCAACTGTCTGAGCAGGACAAGTGAAAGCAAAACAAAACCAGGAAATAATACTTTTCTTATAACAAATGGATTTTGAGGGAAAATCTCAATGAGGAAAGAATGCATGTTCTGATTCTGGCTGCTCTTCTGCTGAGAACAGGACTTTTGCTAAATAGCTTCATAATTAATTTTAGTGTTAATTCAGCAGGTCCAGTGTGAGATAAATCCTTCCTCGGGAGAAGCATTGTCTGTTATGTGTGCTGATTTATGAGAGACAATCAGCTATATTTTAATGATAGCTGAACTAGACTGTAAATATCGACTGCAAGTCATGATATATGAGAAAAGCTCATTTGTGCTTAATATACTAGATAAATTGTTCCTGGCTTCTTAGGGTGTGACTATACTTGCTGTCACACTCCCAAGTTTACTCAAGAACCGTGTGATTCGCTGAGTAAGTGCTAGTTATATAGAGAGAAAACCTGAGGGGATGATTTTTATATAGCTTGTGTTTTCCTCAATGTCATGTATTAACATTTTTTGTCCTTATTTTCTCCCCTTCATCAAAGAAAAGTCTCCTCAAGATGGAAGGCAAATTATAGGAGTGGGGGAAATGACCACCAATAATCTGAGCAATACGAAATTTAACACAGTGATTTTGCTTTAGTGAGAGGAAAACACCCGTTGCTGACTGTCATAAAATTCTAAGCCGAACCCTAACTTCATGGGCAGCAGCTTTAAAATCTGTTTAATATAACTTATTTTTTCAGTTAAGCTGTTTCTTTCTCCAGTTAATAATAGGCTGTGGAATTAAACCTTAGCTTTTGATATTTACTGGGAAATGTAGTATGGCGATTTATGAGTCAAAATGTACTTTGAATAAATTATCATTGCAAATTACAGTTTATGAAAGTTGTGACTATAACCATAATTACACCATTGGCTCTGCACTACTTGAAATCTCGCTTGCTGAATAAATTTGTTTTCATTCAGATTGCATTCCTGACATTTTTAGAAAAGAGTGAATCAAGCCCCACCGACAAAATTTCCTACAGAGTTTATTAAAAAGGTCACCTTTGTTTGCCAAACTTACCTAAAATCTAAACATTTCTAGAATTAATGAGATGCTATTTTAGTCTGTTATGAGAGTTTCCTACTCAAGTTTACTAACCCATAGGCTCATAAGGAGACTCACAAGAGCTTCCACATTACGCCGTGCCTTTAGCTATCTGTGTACCCTAAACTTCTTAAAGTTAAAATTGATTCTGTGAGCTGCTGGGGGGAAAAAAAACAACAAAAAAACCGCTGATAGCCAAAATTAGGTATATTACTGTCAGCTGGGGGGGAGCTGAGGGGGGGGAGAGGTTTAAAGCTCTGTCTGGCAAGAGAAGGGTTAAGGACTTTTTTGCTATACCCGTTTCAAATTACAATGAGAAGCCTCTTCTTTCCCAGCAGGGTTGTGCTTACATTAGTCTTTAGATCTCTCTTGAAGAGAGCTGTTATATTTGTGCCTGCTAGAGTTGGAAATAACAGCTCAGAAGCTGAAAAGGGTTGAATGGATTTACAGAAGGGCTTTTTTGGCGAGTAAATTCATGGCAACACAGTAATTTGATTAGTACACGCTTTAGAATTACTTTACACTCAAGCGATGCCAAAGATGTTAAAGTTATCACCAGGCTGCTGGACAAATATGTGTTACACCACCAAGGTACTGATCAAGACAAATCTGTGACTCAGGATTTTATCTTGGGAAGAGCGCAAGGTGTACGAAGAACTCAGAATAACGAGGGACGATAACTCTGGGAACTACAATGTGTCAGAAGAACAGCTCTTGCTAATACAGCTCCCCACCAAAGACCTGGTTATCTAAGGTTTATATAGGAATGCCTAGGTCAGCTGACAAAATACTGGTCTTCTGCTCCATAAATGCAGAAAAAACGATAACAACAGTGGAAAATTGGAAGTCTGAATTTCAGCTTTCTTAGAAATAACTGCAACCTGACACATTCCATAATATTTAAACAGGGTGGGGGGAGAGAAATCACCAAAGATGTTACGTTTAGAGATGACATTGACATGAAGAATAGGTAAATTTTGTTTTTCAGCCACTGGGAAAGCAGACCTCGTAGGAACTCAGAACAAGTAGGAGAAAAAGATTTTTTTTTTTAATTTTTTTTTTTTTCCTTGTTCTTTTTCTTTTCAAAGATGAACCTAACTGCGCTCAAAGCTTTCGTGGGCTTGCTCTGGAATTGCTGGGTTCTGGTGGGTCACGCACAGGGAGGTTTAGGAGACAATCATGTCCATTCGAGTTTTATTTACAGGAGGCTGCGGAACCATGAGAGAAGGGAGATTCAGAGAGAGATTCTCTCTATCCTGGGTTTACCTCACAGACCCAGACCATTTTCACCAGGAAAGCAGGCTTCTTCTGCACCCCTCTTCATGCTGGACCTGTATAATGCCATGACAAATGAAGAGGACACTGAGGAGCTGGAGTATTCACTGAAGGGATCAATGGCAGGGGAGAGCAGAGGGATACGGAAAGGATACCCTGCCTCTCCAAATGGATATTCGCGGAGAATACAATTATCTCGCATGACCCCCCTGGCCACACAGAATCCTCCCTTAGCCAGCCTGCACGACACCAACTTTCTGAATGATGCTGACATGGTCATGAGCTTTGTCAATTTAGGTAGGTGAAAAATTTTTTTTCTGTTTCTGCTCTCTTTGACAAACTGGTAGCCTGATCTGGAGAGGGGCAAATCTCTCGGCCGGACCGTATAACCTGGTTCTAAAACGGCAGGACTGGGCACGGGCTGCTGTGCCACTGGAAAAAGAAAAGTCGTACTGAAGGTAAAGTAGCTACGTTGTAGGTGGCCACGGAAAAAGATTTTTCTCACTGTTTATATAAAGTCAGTTTCTATAACTCCCCTCTGCTGGCTTCTGTTTTCTTTCTTTCATTGATGTAATGAAAATTCTAGCCTTAGGCCAACTAACTCCTTTTTTTTTTTTTAAATCTCAAAAAATCAAACACTTATGCCTATTGCTTGGTTATTTCCCTCACTGGTTTGCTTAAAGCTCAGACGTGAACAAACATCAGTTGGTGATGTTTTAAAGCCTAGAATGTTATGAAAAGGGAAAAGTTAAGCCATTTCCGAAAAAGAAAAAAAAAAAAAGAAAAAGATTTCTTAGGTTATGTAGTGGTTTTTTTTTTTCTGTTGGTAAGAGTCACAGTTTTATTATCTTTTCAGCTGGATGGCTGGTTTTTTAAATAATCTGTTGCTGTTTCTTTGTTATTTCTATTTAATAACCACAGACTGTGTTTTATTATACTGCCATGGTGCTCAGAATCTGCAATGGTTCTTATTTTCTGTGTCATAAATAAATTAAATAACAAGTAGAGTATTAAACACTAGAAACATGCAAGAAAAGAATGCTTTTGAAAATCATATCAAATCAGACACAGAAACTGATAAAACTAAATTATATTGGCTTCTGAGTATAATAAATATACTTACCAGTTATGTTGTGGTTAAAAAAGCAGCTACAGATTTGCTTAATAGAAGGAAACTTGAATCTCATTAAGAAAGCTGCAAATAAATCATGAAATGTATTTACTATTTTTATAAGTATTTTAAATGCTGTAGGACTCATAAAGTTAGCTAAAAAAAACCTTCTTGTTTGATCTGAATAACAAGAGATTTAATTGAGAACTTGAAGTTTCTCAGTAAGCTGGTACAAAATCTGATGAATCCTTGCTTTCCAGGATAATACTTTCTGTAGAAACTTTTTAAACAATGGCACATTTTCTGAAATACCTTCAGATTATCACACACGTTCTGTACCTTTTATGTCTACCAGGTCTTTAATCCCTGCTGCAGGATTAAAATTGTTTCCAAACACTAAAACCCTCAACAACTTGGATTTTTAGGAAAATGATACCATAGAGTTTAGTTGCTGTAATAATAAAATTACTTCTCTTTAGTTACGTTGCAGATAAGGAGGTGTGCAATTCAGAGATCTTTTTCCTTAAGAGTAACATATGTCCACAACTCTAAACACATTTGCTTGTTGCTCTTGCTCTTGAAATAGCAGACTAGAAAAAAATGAAATCTTATGTTTGAAAATGTGTTGCTCATCCTTAAGAAAGAGTTACATATTGTCTGTGTATTACTTCTGAGTTATCATTGTATGCCTCGATTTACCCAGGGTATCTGGACTCAGCTGAATTTAAAATGGCAATGTTGTAAGGGAAATAGGAAATGCTCGGATCTCCTAAGCATTAGGCAAAGCCCTGATCCGGCAAAAATTTTCCTTGTGTGTCCTGAGAAATGCCCTCAGTAAATATGCCTCAGACCATTTCATCAGTGGCCCAGAGGACTATTTACATGGGACCTAGCCTTTGATTTCATTAAATGTCTTCGATTTCATGAGGACTTCTTGCAGAGCATGAGTAGAAGACTTTGAAGGTTCAGTGTCAGATATGTCCTAGCCTGATCCTTCTGCGTTTCCCCAGCCAAAAACCCTCTCTGGAAGAATGCAAATTTCCACTGAGTATCTTACCTTGACTGGGAAGTTTCTAATATTTGTCTCATTTTATTGGGACGACGGTGTTGCCTTAAGAAAGTAATTTTGAGAAGCTAAACTGTATCTTGCATTTCTAAACTGTGAAAATTGGGGGGGAGATGCTTTATTTTTCTAGTGATTATGATTGATAGACACCATTAACTTATAAAAAAACCCACTGTGTAAATACCAAGTTTTGTTTGGTTTCTGTGCAATTAAAATGTGTCTCAGCCCTAAGTGAGTCTAAACCCTAATTCACTTTAAATGCCCTTCCATCCATGCTGGATATTGTGGTTTATCACACATTCTGCCGTGTAACATGCGTAAGAAATATTGATGGCTCATGTAGATTAGCCTCAACAGTTTTATTAAACAATCCTATGTTTCAGTATAATTAACATAAAAATGAAATAAATCACAGAAGCAGGTAACCATTTTGTATGATTTATGCAGCATAAGACCGTGACAGATGAGGGCAAGCTCTTTTAATGTACAATGGGGAAAAATATGCAGTGATAAGTGAATGCTAACACTGTACCTGAAAATCAATAAATGCTGATGCAGCACAGTAATAACTCAACTGGTTTTAGATTTGAAGCCTCAGTCAACTTGCATCAAATTAATCTGCTCTGGAAATAGCATGCAACATGTTCATGCTTGCACACCGTTAATTACATAAAGTGTAATTATAAAGCTTTATTAATCATCGTGATATTTTAAATTGAAACTTTTGTATATGGTTGTAGCCAGTTATAATAATTTAAGACATATATTTTAAAACAAGAAATATGTCGCTGAGATGTTGGGTAGGAATTATTAAGCATAAGCTTGAAAAGGCTGAATAAGATTAAAGTAAAAAAATAGACAAGGACAAATAATTTTATGTTAAAGAAGAAGAATTGAAACTGATATGCTAATTTTGACAAAAATCTACTTGTCAGAGTTGCAACAACCTCACTTTGAAAAACAAATTTAAAAAATAATCATCAAGGGAACTGCAATTATAATTCTGTCAAGCAACCAGGGAGAAAAACAAGACTGCATTTACTTGTCCTGAAGTTAAAATTGTAAACACCTGCTCTTTATCCTGGAATTTATACCAGAATTTCCGTCTCTTTCTTTCTTGAAAGATACGACAAGACAGAGACTGTATCTTGTCCTGTATTTTGTATAAGGCTGTGTGCGTTGGCAGCTCTCCATAAATATTGATGAGTGTAACAGAAGAGTTAACTGGGGTTGCTCCAGCAGTCAAAGAATAAATCCTGCACTAAATACACTGGGGTTTTTGAAGATCTGATTATATCACCTACAAGTTCAGGACTTTGTTTTCCTCACTGGGTGTTTTTTTGCCCTGTTGTTATATTTTATTGTCTTTTTGCAAAGCCCTGACTGTTCAGAGTTCTGGCATCTTCTTTTTGGCCGGTCTCCCAAAATGACATATATAGGATACCCTGTTCCACAGAGAACAGGCAAATAATACTCATGGAGTCCTACTCACTTTTCTGCTCACTCAAAATTTAGTTAAGGACGGACTTTGTTAAGATAAATGTTAGTGTTCCCACTCTTCACCTCTCACCAAAAGAGCAGGATTGAATAAAAAAATACGTACATGACTGAGGTTTGGAGAAAAAGCAGCACTTTTATAAACTACATTTGAACATTTCAAGGACTGAATTTTCCATCAGCATCAAAATGATCATTAAATCCACTGTACTTAACTGTTCCTCCTCATGCATGGTCTATATTTTCATTTGTTTACAACACATCTGTACATTTTTCTCTAAATGGATTGCTGCATTTACTAAGCAACTCTGTTTTCTTTCTCCATATTTTCCTATGAATTGATATGAACTCTCTATAAGATAGGGGATAAATATATATACATTTTTATGTTGTGTTTCCTTTCTTATTATATATAATTAATTTCAAAAACTCAAATGTGAAGACAGCTATAAAATTTGTGACCCTGACCTACACATACTAATTTAAAGAAGGATGCAGTATTATGGACATTTTTTAAGTAACTGATACACCCCAGAAAGACACCTTTTCTTCTTCATATACAATACAATTCTGCAATCTTAATTATAATAATCTTCAACCTACACATGCTGTGATCAGTTCGTAAATCAGATGCTGAAATCAAAGGCAATTTTGCCTGTTTGAGGCACAGGCGACTGTTAGTATTTCTCCAGTTTCTCTCCCCCAAGTTTGTACACTGTCATGAAGATTATGTTCTTCTTTAAAACCTGAATCACTAAGCAAATACATAAATTCAAAAGATCTACAGCCCACCGTGTTCATCAGAGAATGCTGGCATGGCAGAGAACAACTTTTACACGACTACTTTGAGAAAGCTACCGTTCATCGATCCGCACCGAATACCTGTAAAAATATATTTTCGTTAAACATGGAAAAGAAAGGATTCCTAACTGCAATCAGACCTCGAGTGTACAAAGTAGCTGGTTTCTTAAATTAAACTAATTCAGTTTCTACAACCTTCTACTCACAGCTAACATATCATCAGTGAGGGATATGGAGTGCTAAGCTATAAAATGCCAGGAACTGTGGAAGGGGAGCTGGATTTGAAGGGTACACTCAAAAAGGCCTCAGGATCATTAACATCTCTCCTCAAAGCTTAGGAATGAGCACACTTTCTTTTTTTTCCTTTTCCACTGCATTTCAGATGTTGCTGTCTTAATTTTAACCTTACATGAATTTCCTTGGCTGTGGTACAGTTTTAGTCCCTTAAATGCAGGCTTCTAATGAAAATATTGACACAAGCTTAACCGAAGTGACGGAAATGGTGCTATTATCTTGCCTCGGACAGAGGGAGGCTATTACGGAGATAAAACTCTTAAATAACAAGTAGACCCCATGTCTTTAATTGAGGAATTGGATTAATACTGAGAAAAAATGAGAAAACATTTGTGAAGTTTTTTTTGAGTGGCAACCCAAAGTCAATAGCATGGCATTTTTCACTCTTTTACATAAAATTTAAAGCAAATTAGATCAAGCAGGTCTCATTTAATCTTCTCCCAAAGCGAAGATGCCGAGTGATTACTTGGCATCTTGAAATCCTGAGATTTTTTTCCCCTTAATGAAATTTCTGTCACCTAGTCAGTG